CAACTATTTGTGTGACTTATTTACTATTAGTCTAGAACATTGCAGTTTACCTTCTTTTTCTTTTACAAAGCACTAAACCAGTTACTAAAGTGGTTATCAAAGTCACCAAGAGCACGAGAGGCACAATGATGGCAATGCTTCCTGAAAAATAAATGAATAGAAGAACACATAACTCAAATGAAGAGGTTAAGTCTTAAACATAAGTAAAGGTTGATATAACTGAATACTTTATTACCACAAATCACTGGACCATTGATATAGTAAAAATAAAGCTTAGTCCAAATGCCTACATTCCTATGTCTCTAAAAAAAAAAAAAAAAAAAATTCTTTTACTAAATACTTGATCTACTGAAAATGTTTCTTTACCTTTTTTATTTACGTGTTGAATTTAAATACCTTGAGCCTAGAGGTACTAACTTCTCTGTCAGTCTCAGTCTCCTGGTTCCCCCTCCTTCCTTACCCCCACCCCCACACAAACATTTACTTGCAGGGATGCAGCACATTCACTGTACATGTTGGGACTGCATACAAATCAACCGTGACTGAAAAGACATTTACACACTTTCGCCGAGCACATTCCCACCCTTAGTTTTGTAATCTTAGCTACAAATATTTTCTGGCCATAAATACATGTGGCAAAATAGATGGCAGCCTGTCAAAAAAAGGGGGGAGGGCATTCTTTTTGGATTTGGAGGGACATAGGCCTAAACATGGCAAAGTAGAGGGTCAGCAAAAACTAAGGGTAACCCTCCATGAGATGGATAGACATAATAGCCACAAAAATGGACTCAAACATATCAAAGATCATGAAGATGGCACAGGACCAGACAATGTTCCATTTTGTTATACGAGGGGTTGCCTTGAATTGGGGCTGACTAGATGCAACGAACAATAGGCCTAAACACGGATTTCTTGAGTTGTTTGCATTGCAGCCTTGGTTGGGTTACTTAAACTCTTTGAGGCTCTTGCTTTTCTCCAATGGAACAAAGACAAAAAGAACTATCACGCAGGGCTGTAAACTTGATTAAACAAAATAGAAGAGAAGGGGGATCCTCTGTCTCAAGTTCCAGTTCCAGAATAGTTTCAGCAAAACTTATTTTGGGGAGTTGGCTTATGTTACAAACGTCTATTTTACCCTTGTTTCATATAAGTAGGAATGGTCTTAGGTTTTAGCACTAATGGAATAGATCTTCAAGAGTGGTCAGAGAAACTAGCTCTTAGTTTTCATGCATATGAGCATATAGGAGAGGCAAAGTTGAAGACAGCCTTGGACTCTATGCCTGGGTTGGCAGTAAGGGGGATCAGACTTTTTTTTTTTTTTTTTTTGCGAAGGAAGTAAAGAGACAACAATATCCCTTTGCTGGTAACAAGATTCTCACGAGCATACACCCAGGGTTATATGTCATTGTGGGAGAGAGGTGTGGCAGTCTGCTTCCATAAAGATTTACAGCTTTGGAAGCCCTATGGGGCAATTATACTCTGTCCTATAGGGTCGCTGTGAGTCGGAATTATTAGATGGCAATAGGTTTTTTAGTATATGTCACTGATGGTAGGAAGAAAACTGAATGCCTAAGATACTGAGGACAGGAGAGTGTTAAGTAGTTCTATTAAGCAATTAAAGGAGCCCTGGTGGCACAGTGGCTAAAGGGCTCAGCTGCTAAAAGAAAGGTCAGTGGTTCAAACCCAACAGCAGCTCCTCAAGAGAAAGATGTGGCAATCTGCTTCCATAAAGATTTACAGCCATGGGAACCCTATGGGGCAGTTCTACTTTGTCCTGTAGGGTGGCTATGAATCAGAATCAACTCTACGGTAGTGGGTTAGGTTTGTTTTTTGGATTAAGTAATTAACGCTAACTTTTCTAGTAAATGGATATTTAGTGGCCATGAAATAAAGACTTTGCTTAATTTATATAAACATTTGGCTGATTCAGTCAAGCCAGTTTAACCACTGGCTAAACAAAGAAAGAAAGTAACTCAATAACTATTAAAATTTTATTGTGGGGCTCTTGAATGGTTCACAAATGGAACAGTAAGAATTATTAAAATAAATGAATGTTTTCTCTGCAAATATATGTGCATGTAAAAGTACAGGAATATAAATTAACGATAACATTATTCACAGTAACCAAAAACCAAACCCGTTGCCGTCAAGTTGATTCTGACTCATAGGCATAGTAAACACCAACTTATATTAAAGAAGCATGGATCAATTCTGATGGCTCTAGCCAGAAAAGTCCATATTAGAGATCACTTACTAAAACATCAAATATCTTTATTAAAGAAATGTCATGTATTTGGTGATCTTATATTTTAAAGTGTGAACTTCAAAAATAATTTGTCTAAAGTAACCATGTAACTTTCTCTTATGTCCAAGAAAAAAATATAGTTCTCCTTTAGCCAGTTTCTAAAATGTAAAAATTATTTTATTTTGTCATGTTATTACCAGGACTATGCAACTTAGTAAGTTTGATATTGTATCACCTCCTTGGTTTTTGGAAAGTGAACTTTACATGAATTTATAATGTATTAGTAATTAACATAAGTAAAGAATCTGGCACCTTAGATGGTAATTAACATTTATTCACAAAATTTGAATACCAGAGAATAGCTTCGTTACTTTATAAACTATGACTTCAACTCATTGATCATGGCTTTATAAATATCCTTACTTCCTTATTTCCTTTTTTTGTTTAATTCTTAAAAGTTGTGTCTTCAAAAATATCTAAGAATACTCCTTTTAAGCTATATGAAAGTACCTTTCCCTCAATGAAATTACAAATTATTTAGAAAGTTAGATATCATTTGTTCTACATATATCATTTCATTCCTATAAGGTAGAAAGATGAAATTATGCATGATAGAAAACAAAGGGCTTTGCTTTTTTATTTTTTTCATCACAGATGGCAGTTCAAATGCCATATATTACAACCAAACTTGTTGCTGCCGAGTCAATTCCGACTTACAGCATCCCAATTAAACAGAGCAGAACTGCCCTATAGGGTTTCCAAGGAGCAGCTGGTGGATTCAAACTGTTAACTTTTTGGTTAGCAGCCGTGCTCTTAACCACTTTGTCACCAGGGATCCACATATGACAACATTCTGCTTAAAAACCTAAACTTCTGATATCTTCCTATAACCAGTCGAGGTAATTGCAATGGTGCTTCGCGTAGATGATAAATAATGCAGGGTAGCAATTCTGCAAGGTAGTTTTTTTTTTTTTTGTAAAATATTTTATACTGATAAAAACTACTAGCAACCACAGATATTTTTAGAATCAAAAGAGAAGGATTTAGCAAAATAAGTAATTCTTCTCCAAGTAGTACATACAGCAGTAAATACTGTATTGCAGCATATAACAACCAATGTCTCTTGCAGGTGATTTTTTGAACAGTACATTATTGATGGATTATTATAAACTGATTTAAAAAAATTATACCCTGTACTTATAAGAGTAAAGAGTATGGCTCAACAACTTTCTCATATAAAATACAGCAAGTCCTTTTTTATAATATGGTTTTGAAGTTTCATTATGCAACACTTTGCCATTAGAAGGAAGAACTGTATTATCAAATTGCTACTTGAAGAGACAACCTTCCATGGGAGAGAGAGTGCAGCATAGCAGTTGAGGTAATAGGTTCTGAAGAGAGGCTTAAATAAAAAAAAAAGAGTTGCTGTCGCGTCAATTCTGACTCATAGCAACCCTACAGGACAGAGTAGAACTGCACCATAGGTTTTCCAAGGAGCAGCTGGTGGATTCGAACTGCCAACCTTATGATTAGCAGCCAGGCTCTTCACCACTGCCCAGCAGAGCTCCACTACCTCTGTTCAAATCTCACTTCTGCTACTTACAGCAATCTGTTCTTGGGCAAGTAACTTATGTTTGTTTCAGTTTACTTATCTATAAAATGGGTATCATTCTTAACATCTTCCTTATCATAGTATCAAGAGGATTGTGACTATTACATAGAAGGTGAACATACATGTTTATTAAATAATTAAAAATGTATGTTCCCATGACACCTGTGCATACCTCTGTTTTGCGCTTTTTACGATATAATGTTATAATCAGTTTATTTGTTTACTTCCTTGTTTAAAGTTAGAACTTCCACTTCACGAGAAGGGGAGTCTCCATCTTATTCACTGACCTATCTCCAGGGTCTAGTGTAGTACTTGGCACTCAATAGAGGCTCCATAAACGTTTGTTGAGTGAAGTGAATGAAAGCATGGAATAGTACGTGTTATAAACTTTGTGCTTTCCTCAGAGAGAATCAGAGAGGTCAAGGATATTGTGCAAAGACACAATGTTAGGAAGTCTCAGAGGCAGTATTCAAACCCATGTTTGTCTAAATCCAAGGTCTCTTCTCTATCACTCTACTTTTAGATAGTTGGTTTATTTTAGAAGCCTTTGAGAAATTGATACAAAGGAATGTTTTAGTGCATTTTTCAATTATCTTTGGATATTTATGATTGTGAGCCTGGCACAGGACCTGGTAGTGTTTTATTCTGTGGTGCATAGGGTCGCTATGAGTCGGAACCAACTTAATGGCACCTAACAACAACAGCAATGATTCCTGGCATCACATAATCAGAGCCCTGGTGTTGCAGTAGTTAAGAGCTTAACTACTAACCAAAAGATTGGCAGCTTGAATCCACTCCTTGAAACCCTATGGGGTAGTTCTACTCTTTCCTATAGGGTCGCTGTGAGTCAGAATCAACTCAACCACAATGGGTTTGGTTTTGGTATCATATAATTGGGGGTATGTGTCTGTGTGCATGTGTGTGTGTTAAACCATGATGGTATAAACAAGATAACAGTCAAGCAGGAAAAAAGGAGACAAGAATAAAGGATAACACTTCAGCAGGTATCACCTCTCTGTTGTCAGGAGAGTAAAACAAAATATCTCTGCAATACCGCCCCACAGATGCTAAGGATATTTTTCTTGCTTAATTTTATGGATAGCACAACTCATAACCAGCATCAATTCTCTTAACATTTTATGTAAATTTAAAATTGGAGCATGCAATGAGTATTTTGTCATCTTGAGCTTTCAACTCCTCCAAGTAACTTTAGTAGAGTCAGATCATGCTTCTTCAAGTAGAGCTCTAACAGAAATCCCTAAGATAATGGATCGGTCTAATTCCACAGACTGATTTCTAGCTACTTTAAACAGCAAAGACCAGAAAACATCAGCACCACTACTAAGAAATCATTAAGAAAGCTATGCATGAATTAGGAAGGTAAGTCTCCGTGACAATTGACAGTAATTAGGCAGACATAGGCAGTGTATTCTTGACTATGTCAAGGTCTGATGATGATGGAATACTTCACCTTCAGTGGAAATGGAGATTTGAAAACACATTTGTAAAGTATCTATCCTTATTGGGCAGACGACATCTGCTCAAGTTTGGGGAATGTTTGACATCCATTCAAAACCACTGGGTTTTGTTTGAGAGAATAAAATAACCCTTTTACTTCAGGAAGGATCACTTGAATTTGCCTTCCCCTCCTTTTTGTGTTACTGAGACTACTTTCTCTAAGCATAATGTCTGATACTTTGTTCCTTCTAATAGAGTCATTAGAGCCCTGGTGGTGCAGTGGTTAAGAGCTCATCTTCAAACCAAAAGGTCGGCAGTTCAAATCCACCAGCCGCTCTTTAGAAACACTATGGGGCAGTTCTACTCTGTCCTATAGGGCTGCTATGAGTCAGAATTGACTCAACAGCAATGGGTTTGGTTTGAGTTTTAATAGAATCATTATTTGGCCAACTTTGCTCAAGTCTGAAATAATGTAGCATTGACACAGTCAATAGCCTTTTCAATGTGCATTGACACTTCCATTAAATGACTTTAAATCACTGATTGGAGGAAGACTATCAGAATCTTTGAAAAAAGGGTTATAGCTACCACAACTCCTCCCATATAGTGCTCATTCTCTATTTTAGAACGGTTGCATGTAATTAGAGGTATGTTCTTATAAAGGAGTTTATTGCCCATGAAAATGATTGGAGGACCCCCCCAATAAAACATCTGCAGCACTCCTGCTCCAAACTATTTTCCAAAAACCAAGCTTCCCCTTTGTGAATGAACCTTAAATAACATTTGAAAATTCAATAGCCGTTTCACTGTTTTGTTCTTTAATTTTAGACAGTTCTATCAATATTTAAAATTGGTTTTGACTCACTAAAAGGCTATGTGTCCCATTTGTCTTAGATAACTGAGAAATTTCCATGAAACAAAGGCTAAAGCACCCATCTCCACAATTCCTAATTTATAAATTCATTGTGTTCTACAAGTGGGTTAAAAAAAAAAAAAGTTCTTAATGATGGTTGACTTTCCCAAACAGTTCACAATGTCATATGTAAATAGGTATGCTTCCATAATTATTACTGATGATACTAGTTTGCGCCTTAGATGCTAGGAAAAGGGAAGGGAAAGTTTTTTTTTTTTTCCTTCTCATTTTGCAGTATCAAATTAGCAAAGATATATTTTGCTACCCCGACTCACTTTTTTAAACCAGTTCCCCAAATCCTCATGCTCTTTTCTCACTATCATGCACTCATAGTTTCTCTAATGCCTTCTTTCTTCCCTACCCTAAGTTCAGCACATAAATTCTAAGGTCCCCCCAAAAATGCTCCATGATAATGATCACTTACCTCACCTCTCCAAATTCAAATATACCCACCTAGCCATTTTTCAAAGATATTCATGCTTATAATCCAAATGACTGCAAATGTTGACATTCTAAACAATGATGCTTGGAGAATTTCAAACTGTGCAATAGGAACTTTTAGGGCTGTGGCAACAAATAGGTAGATCAGCCAACTCTGGGAACCTGCCCTAAGGTGCAGAGATGCTGTATACTTTGACCTGGATAGTTTATTTTCTTTTTACAGACTCCAAGGTGGTGTGGGTTTTGTTTGTTTTTAGGAAATCTTTTTCTCCAGCAGTGAAAGACTAGGGAAAAATTGCTAAAGTAAACATTGATCAGTCAACAATCATCTATTGTCTTCTGATTTTATGTTTTTATCTTTAAGAACGTATTTAGCTATTCAATAGATACTACAGATTTTTCAAAGGTTCTCCACTTATGGTAAAATTAATGACACTATGTATGAATCGAGAAACTATTTCATACTTTTATGTTGAAAATCTTTATAAATCATTTAAAACTGTCAAAACACACACACACACACACACACGCACACACACACACAAAATGATAAGAATAGACTTTCGTATCAGGGACCCGTCTTAAGACTACAGCTACACAATAAAATATCTTAAAAGGTTGAACTATACTTTAAAATTAGTACTTTAAAAACAAAGGAGCAATAAATCAACCACAATCCTAATTAAGAATTGCTTGTTATTTCATATCTCTGTAAGTCTAGCCAGATCGAGTCTTTTTTTTTTTTTTTCTTTTTCACACAACACATTGAAATGCATTTGCTCTAATTAAAGCATGGAATTATTTTTTTCTCCTGAAGCAATCTTACATCCATTGTGATACCTGCAGCCTTTGTAGCTGACATAGATTTCCTAAGAAAAGATTATTTTAGGTTTGCAGATGTGCATCTCTGAGAATTGCCAAAGTTTGTGACGAACTCTCATGGCCTGAAAGAGCATATAAATGCTGGATCCTTTCACCAAGTGAGAGCTCAGTGCTACTTCTTTCAAAAACACTTGGATTGTAATGGCTCTCCTGCAAAATTCCACAGATGAGGCTTTCTAAGACTCATGTCCCTTGATAATGGCTTCAAAAGGAAAAAAAGAAGTATAATATATAGACCACCCAAGATGTTAATCTGAGAAACTTACTTGTGCTGATATGATCCGACTTACTGCTTTTCGGGGCTGGCCTTTCACACTGTGTGCCTGACCAGTTGGTGGAGCATCTAGAAAGATTAAAAAATAAATAAATAAAACTCAGTGAATAATAAAACACACAGTCTGTTAATGCATTGACTTCAAAAATATATTAAGGAGGAGTATGCCATGTCATAAACTGCTTCCTAAACATCATGTAGAGATTTCTGCTAATTTGGAAGGTAAATTCAATTGGGCTTCACTTGTTGAAGTTCTTTTTCAAATTTAGCGTAGTGGTTCAGAGTTTGATGGCTAACCAAATGATTGGCAGTTCAAATCTTCTAGGAGCTCCTTGGAAACCCTATGGGGCAGTCCTACTCTGTCCTATAGGGTCACTGTGAGTCAGAATCGACTCGACAGCAATGGGTTTGGTTTTTGTTTATACTCATTTTTTTTTATTCTGTGTTAAGGTTTAAAATTGGCATATTTTATAACAATATAGTAATGTAGATTAAAAACTGGGAATTAAATTGAGAAGTATTCAGAATTACAAGTTACCACGTAAAAGTCGACTTTGTATGTTAAGGAATGCCTTATTAAGATTCTATGACTTTTTTTTCTGTCTTTTTCTGATAGTTCTAAATACCCAGGGGAACTAACTACCAAACAGCAAATGATCACTAGTGTTATAGTTTAAGATGCAGAAATTTTACTTTCCTATTCATAGACAGGGAAATACAGTGCTGTATTTTCAATCCCATTTCCAAATTACCATGAAATTAGGAGAATTTGCTCAAGTTTTATTGGGAGAAGTTGTTTACCCCCATCTTGGTACCATGACACCCATATGAGAAGTCTAGTAGAGGATTGGAATAGTAGAGCTGATTAAAATCCATTTGTTAAACATAATTCACAACCATATAATTAGCTGGTTGTATCAAAATAAATGCTGGAATGGTTTTAGCTGTGTTTGAACAATGCTTATTGGCTAACACAAGATGCCTCTGTGCATCTGTCAGAGGAAGTCCACAGAGAGGCAATTTAATTGGCTTCAGTTTAAATGACTGTCAGATAGCACAATATCAAGAATAATTATACACAATGAAGAAAAAAAAAAAAGCATCCAGAACCATTCCAAGTGGATCTTTTTGAACACAGTGGGCCAAACTAAGTAACTTCAATTTCAAGGTCTCTGCCAATTCTATCCCTCACAGACAGCTGAAATTGTTTTTTGAACTAGGCTTCTATGATCCCGTGTCAATTATTTGTGATATCCATGAAGACAATATTGGCTGTCCTACAACCTGGGCAAATTCTCATAAAATCATCATTACTGACACTCAAATCATGAACACAAACATTTGTTTCAAAAAAGCATATATTAACTTCTGCATAAATGACAATAATAGTGTTATTATTTAAGAATATAGTTATTTGATTTATAATGACAAATTATAAAACTATGAGCATGGAGCATGATTTAAATGAAAGTTAATATCATTATTTGTATTACGATTCAGGTCATCACTCATGCATTATCCCAACATTTTGTTCATATTCCTCATAAAAATAAGCCTGCATTTTATATCATTTTCTATACGTCACACTTACTATACACCATACGACAAGCAGATCGTTTCAATAAATAAATAAAAAACAAACAATGACATAAATAAATGATAAGTTCAGGTCTATGACATAAATAAACGGTAAGGCCTGGTCCATGACTCTGTCAACATTATCACAGTGAGGCAGTGGAACAAGCAAGTCTACAAGTAATTAAAATATAGTAAACAACCAATAAAGTCACTGATTTCTAAAAATCTTTTTTTCTTCTTTTTTTTTCCCCCTCAATAGTGGATTTGTAGGTGAATGATCTAGAAAATTGTTCCAATTCTTCAGATTCTAATTCTGGACACAGTCCACAGACAATTCAAAAGAAGATATCTAAGAACACTTTACAAACCTGTCCTTGGATTGAATTCTGAGAATTGCAGAATTCTTTTTGTTTCACATAGCTTTACATCTGTCAAATCTTCCTAACTGAACACTCAGTGTGTTCAGTAATGATTGCTTAGTAACTTCATCATATAACTGATGTGTATAGAGCTAAATTTCTGCAATTGTATCAAATGATTGAATTAAAAATCTTAAAGTTTACTCTTTACAGGTCCTCTTTTGATTTAAAAAAAAAAATCAGGGTTCTTCTTATATGAAAGAAATGACCTGAGATACACTTTGTATGTTATTAAAGATGAGAATCTCTGGGGCTCATCACTACACTGAGATGCTTAGAAGTCAGAAGATGGGATTGTTTAGAAATTGGAAGATTAAATGCTAATTGGCAGATTGTGTTCTGACATCGACATCATGTACTTTAAATATTTTAGGAAGTTATGAGAATTATGTCTTTAGAGCCCTGGAAAATCAGAGACAGATTTTTAAACAAAAATGATAAGGATAGTGTGATTCTGATTCCCAGTTTTGGGATTTTTTAAGTAGGACAGGTGGTATTTGTTAACAATATTAATTCCCTAATTTATCAACGACTAAGAACCCAGTATTTATGATAGATAAAAGAGGGCACTTGCTAGTGGTTATGATGCTCTTCTCTTTAAAATTGTGGAAGCACATTTAAATTCCTAATCTTCAGGGAGTATGTCACTTATTGCATACTAGAAATAACTTTCAAAGGTTGTGTTGGAGAATAATTAATTTTAAGTTATATATCTTAATCAGTTGATGGCCGCCTTGCAATCTCCCTCTATTCCTTATAAAATAATGTTTTATGGCCTAAGACAAAGTAAGATATGTCCCACTGTTCTGTATTTGTTCCAGTTTTAAGAAATAATCTCTTTTGAGATATTAAATCAAACGGAAATCATTATTCCTGTTGCCTACCTTACAAAATTACCGGTTAAAGCTTTTACTGCTCTACAAGCTCTTCTTCCAGTGGTTGATTTAAGACTATTTTTACTATCTTTATAGAAATTCATAAATCTTCATACTCTGAGTAGACTACAATGATCAAAGCTATTAATGGCTGAACATTGAAGAATTGGAATGCATACAGATCATCGAAATTTCCTATCCAATTTCCCACTGAGTGATTTGCATAATTATGCTGACTATAATATCTTTGGCATCTGTCTCTTTTTCATTATTCCTTAAGTGAAATCTATAGTTCATGCCTTGGTCATCTTTGATCTGTACTGTTGAAATCCACTGCTTCTTGTTATTTCGTCCTCAGAAAATTATCTTCAAGTTAGTCCTGTGAGGCCCTCCCAAACAGTCATTTCTTTTTCTTTTTCCTCACCATTGCAAATATGTGCATATCATTCCTTTTTAAATTATCCTAGAGATGTTTCCCACTGCTCTTCAACTTATGACAAAGAAAATCAGCCTCAACTTATGTGTTGATCACTCTACTACTCTGATTCATTTAAATTTTCAAACACTTTCATAAAATTTAACTAAGTCTTGTTGGGTCAGGGATGAATGGGCAGATAGGTAGATAGCTAGACAGGTAGGCAGGTAGGTATGTAGGTAGGTGGGAAGGTAGGTAGATAGAATCTTATTTACTTTTCATACAACCATTTATCCTTGTTTCTTCACATCATCATATGATGATACTGTTCCTAGCAGTTCCGTCAAGAGTTTCCTAGTAAAGGATTATTGATTTAACATTATTTGACTTCTCCCTTTCTCTGCTAGGCCATTGATATACAAAATAAAAACTACTTACTGCTACATTTTCTTCTTTATCTCATTCTTACATTTACGTTATACCCGTATATACAAAATGCTCTTAATTACAGCATATTTTTGACATTTTTATTTATGTTCTAGACTACAGAAATGGTTACCAAACTGAAGAATTTGTTAAAAATTCAGATTATGATGACGCACACTAGAGATTTTCACTAAGAGCTTGTGTGGCCAGGAATCTGCATTTTAATGAGATAAATCGGATGCAAGTAAATCACAAATCATACTTTAATAATTATTTGAGAAAAATATTGTTATATTCCCACCAGACTTCTTATACAAAATATTATTCAACTATTTTTTTATTTGTGGAATGGGAATAATAGTATGCATGCCCCTCAAGGTTGTCCCGATGATTAAATAAAATAACATAGGTGGAAGTTCTTTACATAATGCCTGACAAACTAAGTAGGTTTATATTTTTAACTAACTCTTATCTGAATGTTATTATATGAAAGACATGGTTAGTTAATTTATTGTGTCCTTTAACAGTCTGTGCAATTATTCTGTATTGTATTTTTACGCAAATAACGTTCACTCTCTGTGTTTGTTTGCCAGCCGTGCCCTCCCCTCCGTGAGACACTTTCACAAGTGTTGCCATGCCAATCCTCCTCCACATGTTGCTGTAAAAAAATTAGCATAGCATACTTATAAAAATACCTCACAGGGGGAGGTTACAGCCAGCAAACACACAGAGAAGTCATGCGTTATTTGCATAAATACAGTCGCGTCAACATTTTCAGTTTTAATTACAATTTTCTGTAGCATAGGGGAGCATACTTGCATAAAGACAATTGTGTAGCCAATATTACCAGGAAGCACAATAAACACTTTTAAGATACCAAAATAAGGTTTTTGTACATAAGGGACAGTCATTACATTTAACAGCACAGATATCACATATATAATTAGACTGCTCAAAATAATCATAGCTCTGAAGAAGTAGAGTGATTTTTATAAAAAGAATTGAAATCAGATATAAAATAGGGAAGGTATATGAAAATCTTAGGTACTGTTTTTCACTTTAACCATGATCAACTTACATGAACTGCAACCGTCATTTTGCAGAAATGTGGCCTAGAGTTACCCGCTTTGGGAAGACTTCAAAATAAAATAATGAGATTAATATCTGCTCCCTTTTTCATCAACTTTAAAGGTCATGGGACTCTTCTGACCGAAAAAAAAATTCAAAGGTGAAACTTAAAGCTATTTGAAATTGAATTTCTCCTCTTATACACATACATATATGCTAGACTGCCCTTATTAACCATGATAAAAGAGGCATTCAGAAAGAAAAATCTTTTAATATACCATTTTCTTT